GGATCACCCAGCTCTCTGCTCTCCTGGGGCTTGTAGTCTAGTTACAAGAATGTAATTTTGTTTCACCAGGCAAGAGCGAATGCTCTTAACCCATCACCATTGAATTTTCACATAGAAATGGCTGTTAAGAAATGACAATATTAGTTAAAACTTTAGGACTAGGTGAGTGATTCTTAGAGGTATGTCGTAGTTTTATATTTTATAAAAACACTGTATAATTTGCAGACTTCATTCTTTACTACTCCAACCATTCTAGACTCTAATGTTTGGATCATGAGTGTGTACAACTTATGTTCTAACAGTGAGGAGATTTATTTTCATGCCCCTATAAAATGTGGAACATTTCTCCTTTTTCTCTTCAATTTTTCTAGTTGCTTACAACTTCAACAACAATCCACTCATAGCTCCACCCATCTCCCCTGTTCCAACAATCCAGTTTATTTTGAAGGTAACCTCAGGCAACATATCGCTTCAGCTCTGAATATTTTAGTAGATATCTCTGAGAGGTAAGGACTCCCCTTTATAAACATTTTCTCGGCCCCCAAAATAAGTAACAACAGTTGCTTAATGTCATAAAATGTTCAGCTAGTGTTCACATTCCCTAATTGTCCTATTAATGACATTTTATTTGTTCAAATCTAGATCAAAACGAAGTCCATACACTGCAATCAATTAACACCTCTTACGGACAAGCATTCTTTTTTCCTTAATTTTTGTTCTCAAACAAACAAAAAAAAAATGCAGAAATGTTATGTAGCAAAAGCAACCCTCTCTGGATGAAGCAGGAGTGCAAAATGCTGTCCTGAAGAAGTCAGTGAAATGTCAAGTCATTGCCTTTGCCAAGGAGATAACTACTTAACACACACCTTTCCCCATGTGATAAAGAAGGAAAGGCGGAACTGTGCTTCCTGGTAAACAATTTATAAGCCCCAGAGAAGTGCATACAAACATGATGCTTGTGAAACAGAGTGTTCTGCAGTAAATAGGAATTGAGGAAATAGAAAATGAGTTGTAAATCTGAAAATCATTTATTTATTTTAATGAAAGAGAAGTTTATACATGGCCAAATCAAACAGTCTGCTTTTACAGTTTGCAAATGCTGATTGGATTGATGAATCCTGTTTAAGATTTTTAATCTTAAGGCTTTAATTTAATTTAAGGCTTTTAAATTTTTCAAACGTTGCTTACTCCATTCTAGTCTGTGCTTGTGGTAAAACAACAACAACAACAAAATCACTTTAGGTGATAGGCAGTTAATCAAGGCTCTCACCATAAGGAATGTGTCTTAAGGATGCCACCTTAAACAAAACTACTTTTTCACTTCAAAATGGAAAGAAACCCTGGTGTTGGAATACAACACAATACAAACAATAATACATACATACACATACATACATACTATAATAATTGTCATGTAACAGAAGAAGCAGGAGGAACTCACACTAACACAGTGCAGGAGTTGACAATGTGGGTTGCAAAGACAGAAGGAATGGTGTTCCCTGTTTTGTTTTGTTTTTTTTTTGCCTGTAAAACGGGGATAATTAATAGTAGCTGCCTCATAGGTCTGCTGTGGGATCATTCAAATGAGATCATGAAAAGCACCCAGCACTTGCTAACAGTAAAGACTAGCTCTTACTATCATTAGAAAGACCTAAGAAGAGATCATTTGTCATTATTAGTTTTACCATGAGAGAAGGAACTTACTTTATGGTAACATTGTGAGTCAGCTACAAAAGAAGGCAGCAAACTCCCTGTGCCTGTGCCTATCCCATTGTCTCCCACATACTCTGCTACATTGTTGAAAGGACCCTAGGAAAAGAAGTACCCTGCAGGGCAATTTTAAACTGTTTTCTTCCCTGAGGTTCCAAATATTTGAAAATAGTATAAGAAATGACTCTGTATATTAGGTTCTAGGTAAGACAATACCGTGGTAAGTGACCTAAACTGAGATTAACCTGAAATTGGACTCTGATCCCCGAGGAAGCAGACCGGTGTAACCCAGTCCTTACCAGCCCTGCAGAGAAAAAACAAGCTTGCGTCTATGTCTATCTCAACTGTGATCTGGCTGGATATGATCTAAGCTTTGAATGGTGCCTGAGCACATTTCTGATGCATAATACGTGCTTGACAATACTAAGCAGGAGCTTTGCATTGGGGTGTGTACCCTAATACTGAGGAACTGACACATGAAAATGAAGACCTAGCATTTATAATTTTGCATTTCTCTATTCTCTCATTTTAGTCACACGTTTCCTTTTCTATTGGGTCCCTCTCAAATAATTGCAAAAATCTAATAAATTAGTTAATTAACAAAAAAGTAGAAGGGGAGAAGTGGTTACTCATAGTATCAGAGAATTCTTCAGCTTAAATCATTTGTTACAGAATTCCTTTTAAATTAAGACCTCCTCCCTCACAGGGTGAAAATTCATAGCCCTCCCCAAGCACCTGATCCTATTACTCCTCTCTCTACTCCTTGAGGAAAAAGGAGGAGGAGTCTCCAATGAATTTTTCTTAATTTTTTTTTATTTATTGACTTTTTAGAGACAGGAATTTGGTGGGGCGGGGGGGAGACTGATTTGTTGTTTCACTTATTTATGCATTCATTGGTTGCTTCTTATATGTGTCCTGACCAGGGATCAAACCCATAACCTTGGTGTATCAGGGACAACACTCCAGCCCAACTACTCGGCAAGAGCTCCAGTGAAAATTTCTTGTTAATAACATCTTATGTTCCTTTAAATGTTTTTACCCTTGTAAAGCACTTTCCAGACCCACTGTGTTCTTGTATTAGATGATATAAATCATACACCTATTTCAGATATAAGAAAAGCTACATATAGTAATTGGTACATGTAGAACCTGAGCTCAGGATCTTTTCAGCCACATCCAATGCTCCGGCACCTGAAGCAAGTGGCTCCGTGTTCATGCTCACTGGCGTTGTGCTACTGCTTTTTCTCCCCTTGTAGTTCCAAGCATCTTCCTCTTTCCTCCTCAGTTAATTCTGATTTGTGCCTCACCTCATGTAATTACTAAATGGGAAAGACTTGAGCGAACCAACATTCAATCAACTACTATTTATTGAATGTCAACTAGAAGCCAGACCTTTGAAGAATTTTAAGGAGAAGCTTAATCTTCTTTGTCCCTTACAAAGACTATAGTGAGATTGGAACCAATTATCTAAAAAGAACGTGTGCCTGTTAGCCATACTGGAGTCCTTAGCTAGATGTGTTCTATCCCTGTTTGTGAACTTGGAAATAAACTTCAGGGACTTCTATAGGAAAGCTAAGGTTTAGAAAATGTCTGCACAGACTTGGTAAGATTCCAAATGTGCCATGGTAAAAATTCATTTCTTAAGTCACTTATTCAACACCAACCCATTTTACAAAGTTGCACCTGCTAGGCTCTGGGGATTAGCAATTGAATTAGTGCAGTAGTCCTGAACTTAGAGGTCAGAGTCTAGAACAGGCAGACCAATGCACTGCTCTGAGCTTGCCCAGAGCCTCCAGGTTCTGAATGGTCAGGCCTCATACTCCTTTGGGCCAGAGATGGACCCCAGCTCTCCCCACCGTCTGCTGACTTTATCTTTCATTTTTACAAACTTCCCTTCCTCCCTCCTCCACTGGATGTTGTATTAAGTCCCCGTTACCTCAGCGTTCAAAGTTCACCAGACGCTTCTTGGTCTACTTAGCTCCCCCTTCTCCTTCAGCCCTCAACTATGGCCAGGCTGCTTCAGGGAGCTTTTTCTGACTCGCAGATCTGGTACCCCTATGAGACCCTCTACTACCTTCAGCCTTATCACATTTGTATTTTTTACATGTACTTGTATGATTAATATTTGACTCCCTGCTCTCAGGTGCTTAAGATCTTAGAAGGGTAGGGCTGGTTTTAGATGTCAGTGCCTGGCACACAGTAGGCCCTCTAGGAATGGAAAACGAACATTCAGATGTGCCTAGATGCCTGGACCTAAGCAGCCTGGACCTCTGTGGGAAGGGCAGAATGGAATGGATTTGCTTCATTAATACCAGGCCTCTTGATTCCTATCTTAGCCCCTGTGTGACACTCTGAAATCTAAGGATTGTTTCTCCCAAGTCCCTGGGAGACTTCAAGTTCTCAAAGAGCAGACACACCACTTTACTTAGTGTTGTGGCCCCAGCACCTAGCTGTGCCTTTTACTAAGCATAAGATACACCAAAAAAAAAAAAAAAACTGCTTAGTAAATATTAGTCATTGCCATGATTAAAGAATACATTCTGGAATGTGGAACAAAGAGGGAGAGCTTATTTGAAGAAATATTAAAGCTTGAGCTGGCTCTTGAAAGAATACAGGCTCCTCAACCACAGATTTTTTTTTAAAAAGTGAGGGGGGAGAGGATAATTTTCCTTCTTCCGTTCTTCTGGAACACCAACAAAAACAATAAGACGTCTTAACCAACGTCTTCTCCTTTCTAGGCCTTCGCTCTCTTCTCTCCCCTCACTGCCCAGGCGAATTCTGGACCGGTCTGTACAGTTACTGCGGAGATTGCAATCACTGTGATGCCTCCTGGCATTTCCTGACCAGGGTGCAAATTTGTGGAGGATACATGTAGAGACCTTCTCATGGAGATGGTATTTAAGGTCCTCACGATGAAAGTCGCAGGATTCATAAACAGGGAGAAACGGGTCTTTGCTTCTTTCCGTTCACTAACATTTTTAGCGGGCAAGGCCATCTTGCGATTGGCTGGAGCACTCCACCGACCCAAGGCTCCTGTTTGCTGAAGCCTCCACCCCGCCTCCCTTCCCCGCCGACGAGGTTCCGGCACGCAGGCGCTTTGGCGGGCGCAGGGGAGAGCGCGGGGGCGGAGCGTGCGCGGGCCGCTTAAATACGGCGGAGGGGGCAGTGCTGCTACTCAGTCGATGCCAGTTTCCGCAACTGACTCTTCGTGGCACGAGCCTGAGGCTCCCTCTTCCCGCGGCGGCGGCGGCGGCGGCAGCGGCGGCAGCGGAGGCTGCGACTGGAGGGAGCGGAGGCGAGCCTTCCGTGGGCTCCATGGAGTGCTGCGGCCGCCTGGGCAGAGGCGACGCTTCTTCCCCAGCACACGGACTTCAGTGACCTGGGCTCGTGCCCTGCCCCGCGTCGGAGCAGCAGCTTTCTCCGGGGCTGACCGGCTCCTCCCTGCTCTGCCACCTCGCTTCCCGACACCCCGGAGCCCGACTCGCCCTTGCTCCCACTCCCTGGCGGGGTGGCGGCCGCCGAGCCACCGCAGCGGCGTCAGGAGCAGCAGCGGCAACAGCCCGCCTCTATGATGAAGTTCAAGCCCAACCAGACGCGGACCTATGACCGCGAGGGCTTCAAGAAGCGGGCGGCGTGCCTGTGCTTCCGGAGCGAGCAAGAGGACGAGGTGAGGGAGGCTTGCACGCGTTGTGCCCTCCGCGGGTTTCCGAGAGCAGGCCGAGGCGGTAAAGGGGTATTCGACCTAGCTCTTCCCTTTCCCGGCCTGACTCTCCGTCTGGTTGCCCGGGTTGGGAGGGATTAGCCCCCTCCCTTCCCTCCCCGGCGTCCTCCCTCCCTCCGTCCCTCCCTCCTTCCTTCCTTTCTTTCTCTGGGTGGCTAGAAGAGACAAAGGGGCTCGCCCAGCCTAACGTTTTCCAACTGGGACGTCCTGAGGACCAGAGGCCGAGATGCCTCTTGGCCCCAGGGAACGCCCCATGTCCTCTAGGTCGTGCCTAGCCATTCACCATCTTAACGTGCGAGCTGAGCGTAAAGCCAGATAAATCTTGAGTGCTAATGGAGGGAGTGGAAATGGCGTGAGTGCTGCAGTTCCAGTCTTGCTGCCTCATATTTTCCTTCTGTATTACAACAGTTCGCAGTTTCGCGTTAAATCTAGGCTTTGTAGAACAGTCAAACCGTCCGCGTGCTTTAAAATAAAAACCCATTCGGTCTAGTTCTCTTAGACCCACTTTTAAGCGGCTCGTATAACTCACAAGCACTTGTCATAATTATACTTGTTTTTGTTGTTGTTGGGGGAGGGGGCTTCTTTTAAACTTTCCTGACTGCAGAAAAATGGTCAGTGAAAAGTGGAATAATGCCAGAAGGTGATGGACTAGAGGTGGGCAAAGTTGCCGTTTTCAGACAGCAATCCCTAGCTCTTAGAATATTTATCAAAGCTTCTTTGCTGTGTTCGGTTAGACCTCTGAAGAGGAGCTTTCTTGCTCTAAGAGCGAGCAGTCAATCTGTAATTTAACTGTCTGCATTGGGCTGATAGTGAGGCCCTTAAGGTTTCCCTGGAGAGCAGTGTTTACATTATTTTACTTACATTTAATGTGAAATGGCTCTCACTGCTTTAAATTTGCTTAGGGCCATAACAGACAATTGGTAGCCAAAGAAGATCTTTTAGCATTGCCACTCTTAAAATGATTATACAGTAAAAAAAAAAAAAAAAAAAAACACCTGAGTTCTACTTCAGTAACCAACTACCAGGCTAAAGCTGGAGACGGGAATTTAATGGCTTCCTTATAATGCCCTGTAGTTAGAATGAGTATGACATAGTGTACACTCTGTTGTTCTTAGTGTGCTAACAGAAATCAAAGTGCTTCAAACTGGTATTCTTTCAACTCTTGTTTTGTCTTTATTTTTTTATCAGAAACCCGGCTTTTTCATGATGATCAGTGCTCACTTGGGGGTCTTCATTTTGAAGGAGTTTTCAAAAGAAATTGGTCTGTGTGATGGAGCTAGCCTACTTAGGAGAGCTAAAAAGTAGACTAGGAAAGGTTTTTAACATTTACAAAGTAACAAAGTCAACAGCATATTAAAAAAAAAAAATTAGAAAGTCCTTGAGGGAAGCACCACAATGAGGACAAAGCACACTTTGAATATAAAAAAAATATATGTGTGTATGTATATATAGAGAGAATGCACGCCAGAAGTGATCAAGGATCTTGTCTGAATGTTCACTATTATATAATCATATTTTTAGTTGAGGGCTTACAAGGCGCAGGGCACTGCTTGAATAACTTTAAGTTTTTTCTATTTAATCCTCTTAGTGCTGGTTTACAGGTGAGGAGATGGTTTCAGAGCATACGTACTGATAAAATATAATTAATAAGTGGTAGAGTTGGATCTCTGGTCCCCGCTCCTGATGCTGGGCTCTTGGCCCAGGGCCCAGCCCATAGCAATTGGGTGCACACTATTTGCTGAATGAGTGAGATTTTGTGAGGCTGAGCTTGGAGGCCTTTCTGAAAGTAGTGACTTTGAAGTCTTGCCATAATGTAAACTTGGAATTCAGGCTTTGTAAAACACAGAGTCCCCAGGGAAAACATGGGAAATGGGAGGAAACTAAATGGTCTCTGTATTGTGTGAATGGTAAAGCAAGGTGAGAATTTCAGAAGTTGCCTTAGCAGATAAATGAGTTCCCTTTGTGCTGAAAAGCTATTTTTACTGTAATAAATACTAAATTTCTAGCATCTAGTTGAGTCAAGAGACTAGGGCCATTAGGTAAAGTAAGGAGCCATATTTGGAGAATTTATTAGGTAAATCTATTATGTGAAGTTTTGTAAATGTGATAACTTCTGGATTGAAGCAGTAAGACTGTTAGAGAATATGCTCTGAGGGAAGCCTCTGAACTCTCTCTGAAATGCACAGCCACTTAATGTCTGGGTTAGCACTTAAGGATCATCTTCATTTCCGTAGTTGTGTATAGTTAGGGGCACCTTCTGTTATATGATAATTAGAGAATGAGCCCTGTTAGTTAGCTTTCCTGGACATTTTGGTGTTTTGCTATGAATTTTTCCCATTCTGTTGAAATTACATTTCCGAGGATCGGACACAAACCAGACTGAACCTGCTCCCTCTCTAGCTAATAGGTGAGATTCTGTTTCCCCCTTTCCTGGATTAAGAACACCTAGATCCTGGTTGGGAGATTGAAATATGATGTATGCTTTATTTTACGATGAAATGTTTATAGAATGTAAAATAAAATAGTAATTGCTGTTTGACCCACAAAACCTATGCAGGGCAGTGAGCTGGCTGTTCCTGTACTGAAAGAGTTCTTAGTACCTCTCACAGGTTGTTCTAGGAAAGAAGGTTGTTCTAACAGCAAGTCTGTATTCTTTTGGGGTGGCTTTTATGTATTTTCCCATTTTATTTTGCCCTGTGTGCTAAGTAATAAGCATTAACATTTGTATAGGAAGAAGTTGGGCAACAAAAGTAACTTAATCAAGATCACAGAAGCTGGCAGATCATTTTGAGCCCAGGTTCTTTATTTCTAAATCTATGTCCATTTGATCATCCTCTCTTCAACTAGGAACTTCTGCTTGGAACCACCCTAAATTTCAAAAGCGGGGGTTCCAGACAAGCCCACAAATAACATGCCCCATAGAGTAGGTGGATACTGTATTTGTGCAATGAAAGAGGGCATAGATTCATGAAATGTAACCAAAAATGGATATCTTTGAACATATTTGCATGTTCTATAGTTTTAACAAGGATGCAAAGAGTAAAAAGTGTGAGCTCCTAACGAACATATTCTGTATCAGGAGGTTAGATAAATGACTGATAAAAGGGGAGAAAAATAAGGTGAAAGTGCCATCAGGTGCTCCAGGGTTAAGAGCCAGTGTGAGTCATTTGGAGTTGGATTTCAGTGAGTGGGAAAGGAAGGCCCAAGCATCACAGAGCAAGATTTGGTTGTTGCTGTGGTCTGGTTGGGCTTCAGCTTAGGCCAACATAGGACAAATAATAGTTGAAAAACAGAGACCTTAGCGCTGGCTGGTGTGGCTCTGTGGATTGAACCCTGGCCTGCAAATCAAAGGGTCAGCCGTTCGATTCCCAGTCGGGGCACATGCCTGGATTGCCGGCCAGGTCTCCAGTAGGGGGCATGTGAAAGGCAAACCACACATTGATGTTTCTCTCCCTTTCTCCTTCCCTTCCCTCTAAAAGTAAACAAATAAAATCTTTTTAAAAAAGAAAGAAAGAAAAACAGAGCACCCTAAATGTTAGCCCGAAGAATTGCTAGGCAAGAAAGGAACTTTGTTTTAAACAACTAACATTTAGATTTTAGATACATTCAAGTTTGAGAAAGATCTGGCAGCAAAATAGTAGAGTGCTAAAGGGAGAAAGAGAAATGATTTGATCCTGGGTGAGATCCAGGCACAGTTGCAGGTGAGAAACATTGACAAAACAGTCCTAAAAACTGACCTTTTTTTTTCTTTTCTTTTAAAGGAAAGGGAGTTTATTGTTCAGAGGAGCACACACTATACTTCCCTGGGCCATGGCTGTTGGGAGTGACCCACAGAAGGGGAAGGAGGCTCACCCTGCACCCAGGGCTGACTTCCATTTTGATTTACTTCTCTAAATAGCTTTTCAACTCCCTGAAACAGGGGCCGTATTCTACAGGATCCCCAATGTATATCCGTGAAATGTCTGAGGTCTGTGAAATCATGCATTGAAACTAAGGTTTGGTTGGAAAAGTAGAGTCTCAAAACTTACAGAACTCTAAAACCAGAGCTCTATTAAACAAAAACAATTATAATAAATATTAGTGCAGTTAAATCTCTACTAGCATTGTTATGTGTAGAATAATCAGGCGGTCCACCTTTTTCAGAAATATATTCTGGGACTCAGATTTCCTCAGAGATTTAAGTCCTTGGAGACACTTGCTTCAAATGGAGACCACTTTCATCAAAATGAAATAAATTCCCAAAGGTAGGCTTTTCTAAACACAAGAAAATGTCACCAGCCTCTACATCTGTGCCTTTAAACCTCCCAGACCACCCAGTTAGACACTGCCGTCGGGGCGGGGGGCACTTCTGTAGAATTTGCATCTGCTTTTTTCCTTAGGATCTTGGTATATCACCAAGGCTTAATAATAACAGTAGGTGGCTGGTTAGTGGATATAATCGTTGTTGTAACCTGTGATTTTTTTAAAACATCTGTATGCATAGTGGGTGTTTCTGATATGCTGCTGGTCTGGTTTTGGCTAAATGACTATGAAATAGTTAACAACGGTAGAGGTAGTTTAACAATTCAGGTAATCCTAGTTCACGATAATAGGGGGTGAAAGAACAAGCACCCCAAAACAGCTTCAAAATAGCTACAATTCACAAAATAAAGTTCTTTGTTCTTAGATTTAGGGATCACTTCTGAAGTTCTCCGGATAGTTTTGTTTTTATTGGGAAAAAAGTATTAATCTGTAGTGGCCAGTTGTTCCCAGAGGCAGGCCTTGGCCAAGAGCAATTTTAAGAGTGGAAGGTGAAACACAAAGGGCAGTTTGGGGCCACTTGCTATAAGGGACTAACTATCCACCCCCATGTACCTCCAGCTTCTGAAGGCATAATTGAATTGCATAGAATCTGAAGAGCATTTTTAGTTCACCAGCTCTTATGTTTCCCCAGTGAGAAGGATTTGTTGGGCAATTTAGAGTATAGAATGCTATTATAGATAATTTCACTTCACAGACTCAAGGCTGTTTCTAGGTTTACCACTATTACTACTAAAAATGAGAAATACATTTATTCCAAATGTTTAAAACATTAGCATCTAAGAATAGTGTGAGAAAGGGCTTTTCAATAATGCCAGGTAAATGGTGTTTTGTTCTGATAATCATCCACTACATGGAAAGAGGGCTAAGGTCTCTTGATAGTGTAGTAAGAGGAGTGCTTATGTGAAGGCGGTCAGGGCGGGTCAGAGGAGAAATGTCTTCATTTTTAACCACTCTTAGCAGCATTGGCTTTGGGTTTTGAGTGTAATTCAAGTCTAATTCTGCAGTCTGGTGGGTTACTATCCTCCTTTATATAAATCTTTCCTTGGTCTCAGCTCTGGCTTCTCCGGAACATTGAATGCCTACTTTCTGTCATCTTGTCACTAAAGTGACACTGTCATCGTTTTGGATATAGAAGGTCTGTCCAGAAGAAGTCCAGCCATTGTAGATACAACAAGAACAGTTTGCACGGCATCGATGTAACATGGCAGCCAAGGAGAGTGGACTGGAATGCACATGAATTGTAAACAATGATGATTTTGTTGTACTAGTCAATGGGGGTGGTAGACATTTTTGAGTGAGCATGTGTACTGTGTGGCCGTCACATTCAAAATGACTTGATGGACAAAGACAGTGGAGGCAGGGTTGAATGTGGGAGGTGGGGGTGTGTAAGGACGTGGGAGAGTAATGGGGAGAAATGGGGACAACTATAATTGAACAACAATTTAAAAAAAAGCAAATTTGATAAGGTTAAAAAAATGACTTGAGCAAGTAGAGCAATGAATCTGCATCGTATTTTCTGTTGAGCTTGAACATTCCTCCATGGAAATGATTCAGGTGATTCAGAAGGCCGCAGCTGTGGGCACCTGGCGACTGGCAGCTTCAGCACGACAATGCACCTGCTCATGCATCACTTCTTGTAAAGAGGTTTTTTGGTGAAACATCAAAGCACCCAGGTGACTCAACCCCCAACAGCCCAGATCTGGTGCCCTGTAACTTCCTGGCTTTTCCCAAAACTAAAATCACCTTGAAAGGGAAGAGATTTCAGACTGTCGATGAGATTCAGGAAAATACGACAAGGCACATGATGGAGATGGGGAGAACTGTGTGAGGTCCCAAGGTGCCTCCTTTGAAGGGGACTGAGGCAGCATTGTCTGCGTACAGTGTTTCTTGTATCTTGTAGCTTCTTCAATAAATGTCTCTTTCATATTACATGGCTGGATACCTTCTGGACAGACATTGTACAAAATCTAATATATTCAGATAGTTGAAAAGGAACTTAAAACCTATGAAAGACCATTTATGGTTCTGTTAGCAGTTGGTGTATCTTTACTGAATAAGTTTTTATAGCCTTTCTTTGTTACCCTTCCGTAATACCATTTTCAAAGCATTTGTTAGCATGCTAAAGCTATATTATATATAGATCTTAGTAGATTTGGGATGTTCTAGAAATGTTTAGATGGTTTTGGGGGAGGGACTATTTAATAATAATGCTTTGGGATTTGATGTTGTAGGTTTAGTTTCTTCCAGTGTGTTGGAGGGGTTTTGTTCTTATCTCTGCTTATGCTACTCAGATTCATTGCTTCTGCCCTGGCAGACCCATGCCATGGTTCTGTCTACTCTTATCTATGGAGTATATCCCTCGGTTCTTGGTCTTTCAGTACCACCCTCCCCTTGCCCTCTACCTCACACACAAATGTGACTACTCATTTGAACTCCAGATGAAGTACTGAAGAGGGGTAGGCAAGCACTTAATGAAGCATTCTGGTTTTCGAAGTTTCCAAATAAGTACCATAGCCAAAATCTCATCGTATTGCTTAAGCTTAGTAGTTCAGACATTGATCATTTCTGTACATAGGTATTAATTATTCATTTAAATTGATTGTTTTTTGGAAAGATGCATTTCAAGTTACTGGTTGGATCCAGTGTAATCATTTTGGAATGTCAGTGCACAGTAGGTTCTTGGTTTCAGCTAAATCATTTGCCCAAAACTTATATGGATCTCTTTTCTTGGGCTTTCTAAATAGTGATTTATGAAGGGAGATGTTGAACCATGTGGGGGTTCCATGTCTCTGACTTTGAAGGAGGTTAATGAAGTCCTATAGATAAAGATTTGGTATTAAATTGGAAGCTACAGTGTTAGTTCAGAAAAGCAGGTGCAGACTATACTAATGGGTTTCTCAGCATAATAACCTTATGTAATTTAGCTCTTATCCTGGACAAATGGGAATATAACAGTCATCAGTTTAGATACATGACACTGAATTTTATTTTTTTCAGAACTCAAACATTATAAATATCTATGGTTTTGAAACTGCCTATTTAGTAAGTGAAGATGTACGTTTCTGGTGGCTAGCCATTATGAAGGTAATCAAGGAAGCTGCTTACAAAGCATAGAATTGTGTAGTAAGAATTTCATCCAAGCAGTAGAAACCAGATTATCCCTGACCCATACCCAGTGATCAGGAAAAGAGGCCTCCAACTCTGCAGTCAGGACCAGTAGTTACCATTTACTTTTCCCGTATTGCTCGTGTACCCTAAACATTTTTGTCTTAACTTAAATAACTTTCATTAACTTAAATAACATGGAAGTCTTAATATAGGGCCGAAGCCTTTGAATACCATAGATTCTTGGCTAAATTCTGGCTCTTTGGTTTCTAATTTTGATATGTAAGTCCTATTTGCAGATACTTAAAGCTTAACTTTAAGACCTTACATTTTATTTTAGCAAAATTGCTGTATTTGGACTTGGTGCTACCCTCAACATCAGCCATTAGTATTTTAGCTAAGGTTTTGTCAACCATTGTGTTAATTTATAGTGCTTTCTCTGGATTTACCACTTTTCTGTCAGTTACTTACTTGAAGGAATGATGCCAGTGGAAGCCAATAGAGGCCTGTCCAGATCGAGAATGACAGAAGATAATGTTCAGACCCCTTGAGCACTGTCTGCGATGCTCTGGTGTGTCCATAAGCAAAGGTGTCTCCTTTTTTCAAATTGAGGTTATGTGCCTGAATAGGTATCGCCATATCTCCCAATTCAACACTTTAGAGGTTTTGGGGAGAGCTGGGCATTGCTGAGCTACAGTCAGCCTGGAGCTTTCCAAGGGGTAAGGCTGGGTTCCTGGCATTTTACTCAAGGAGAAGGTGGGTCCTGTGCTATCTGTGAGCTCCTCAGGCTGGCAGTTCCTCTGGCAGTAGGGAGGAGCTGGGCAGATGGAACTACTGGCCTGCATGTCAAAAAGCCAGGACCCACACTGGGGATTAGACTTTGCTCTAAATTGATTTATCTCGTGAGAACTGTTTACATTTACCTGAAGGCAGTATACTAATTTTACAAACATTTTTGTTCATGTTAGTTAAGACACCTATTACCTTCATAAACATCATGTGGTTATCATAGAATCATAAACCTTTCTTCATTTGTGAGATGGATATGTAATAACTTGTTTCAGGTACTGTTAAAATAGCCTCTAGAATAGTTTGCGATAATAGGTTGGTTTTTCTTTAAGTGTTTGCACATTTCAAGCTGAATGCTTTTCTTGATTGGGGGTCTACAGACTTTTCCTGTAAACAACCAGATAATATTGTAGGCTTTGTGAGCCATATAGTCTCTGTCACTACTATTCAACACCAGTTGTAGCACAAAAACATTCACAGACAATATGTAAAAAATGATTGTGTAACTGGATTCTCATAAAATTTTATTTATGAACAGTGATATTTGAATTTCATATAATTTTAAAATATAAAAACCATTTATAGCTCACAGATTGTACGAAAACAGACAGTAGGCCATAGCTTGGCAACCCTTTGCAAGATCATAAATTAGAGGTGCCTGTTACCAATATGGAGCAACTCCTGCTAGTTTACTTAGGTTTAGAAAATGAAGGGTGCCTTTCTGTCTAATCTTAAGTTTAAAGATAACAGGAATTCTCTGTACCCAGAACTGGCTTTACATGAATTTTCCTATTCCTTTCTCACTGCATCTGTTATTTTCTAAGCGTTCTTACATTTTATAGATGAAGGAACAGGGTGACCTGTCTATGGTTACATATCATTAAATTTGGAAGAATAATAAGATTCTGTAATTAAACAGTAATGAATCTGATCACAAACCTCAGTGCACGCAGCTTTGGGGCTCATAAACGAACTCTCTGCTTTTATTCTTTGTTAATATGTAAGAAGTACAGAGTTTTACTAATTCTTAGTAAATCTTAGTCAATCTCGTAGTTTAAATGATTTAATTAGGTAAAAATTATTTATTGGTGAGATCATATCATTGTTGAATTGAGTTCACAGAGGCAGTGTTAACAAAGGCTGTCCACTGCTTTTTGTGTATGTGTGTGTGGTATAATGTGTAACCCAATGATATTAATGAAATTTAAAATAAATTTCATTATTTTAAATGTAGAAGAGATTTACCATCTTGTAAAGGATTGAGAATGTTGCTTATAAGGATATAGTGCTTCCGAGGCCTGGAGTCTATGTCTGCATTGGGTCTTGCAGGTCCTGTTGGTGAGCAGCAGTCGGTACCCAGACCAGTGGATTGTCCCGGGAGGGGGAATGGAGCCCGAGGAGGAGCCTGGCGGTGCTGCTGTGAGGGAGGTGTATGAAGAGGTGAGGTGAACAGCAGTTTATATTTTCTCTTTTCACATAGACTATATTTTGGACAGTCTTCTGGTTCACAAACAAGGCATTTGTTACATTCACTGAGGAGAAGGAAGGAAAGGTCACATGGGTGGTTTTTCTGTTTCCTAATTTGACATTTTTAAGCACATGACTGACTAGAATTTTGCTAGGCAGATATTTCTTCTACCTGGTAAAACAGAGCTAAACTCAAGGTGGAAGTGCCCTAGAATTGTAGAACATGGAATTCCACAATAGATAATAAGGTTGCTCACTGATCAGTCTATAACATGATAGCCTTGCCCAGAGCATGGTTAGTAGTGCACCAAGAAGAACATACAGAGACGTTAATCTTATGCTGTGGTTCTTTTTCAAATGGATAAGGAACAAATTGCTTTTACTTGTTTTGTCTGAAAGTTCAATAAACTGTGGTGTGTGCACACATACCCAAAAGCACATCTAGCCTGCTTGTCTTCTTACACCTGATGATATGCAACTGACTTTTACTCACAGGCAAAACAGGAAAGATTAAGTACCATAAAAAGTTATTGAACAGCATTTAGGGTAAAAATGGGAAATGAATGTTAAAGCTCTTATTAGGCCTCAGTGTATAGTTGGAGAGGTTTTATAGAGATGAGTCTTGCAAGATGAGTGGCTTCATGAGGGAAGAGTACATTTGAAATAAAGACAGGCAGCAGTCTGTTTAGTTCACAGTGTGGATTTGAATGGGGGGCACCCTGAAGTTCCAGTCACTCTTTTACTAGGTAAGCATAATAAGGACTCTGCAGTATAAGGGTAGTGTACAGAAAGAATTGTACCTTCTGAGACATGTGGGTAAAGGAAAATAGGGGTACAGTGTTTATCGTTCATAGAGAAAAGACTGCCGTCATCGAGGAAATTTGTCCCAAATAGGTAGAAAGTTAATTTTTGGTCAGTCCTTGCCGTTTCTTATAAAATAAATGACAGTAAATCTGACCAAGGAAATTGCGTGCAGAGCAAATGAATTCACGTGTTGTAGCAAACCACAGGTCGTGAATCTAAGCACAGCGCCCGCCCCCCCCCCCACCAAAATGTCACAGAAGACAGCCTTAGGATGGGAGGGCCTACTGTGTTTAGATTCAAAAGTCGAAATAGCCAGAAAGTAATTTTCATATGTTTTGTTATTGAAAAGTAAAATGTTTTCATTTTATCTTTTTTTCAACAGGCTGGAGTCAGAGGAAAATTAGGCAGACTCCTGGGCATATTTGAGGTGAGTTACAAATATAAGAAAATTAATTCTTCCTTCCTAACCAGCCAGATGATCTGGCAGCAGCCTTAAACTAGACATTGCTCTAAAACGATCAGTAAGCAAGTAAGTCATAACCGTTAGGGGGGAGAGACCTGGTTGAGCGTTGTCCTGCAAAGCTAAAGGACACCAATTCTATCCCCAGTCGGGGCACATGCCTGGGTTATGGATTCGGTCACCTGGTCAGGGCGCATATGAGAAGCAACCAATCAGTGTTTCTCACATCGATGTTTTTCTCCCTCCCTTTCTCCCTAAAAATAAATAAAATCTTTTTTAAAAATCAGAAGGGAGGTAAATAAAAACTACTTAACTTTACTATACCATCGGTTATATACAGCATTATTATGGTAGCAGTTACTTCTATATGACAGTACAGTGGAGTTGGAGAAACTGATCTCTTGGTTCACTGGATACTGCTTAGGCATAGACTTTAAGAGGTACAGTATCCTCAGTATCACCTAAGGGATTAAGTCTCTTGTAGATACTGTCTGGAAATGTACCCTTACCTTCAGCACATAACATTAGATAATATACATAATGACTATCTTGAAAAGGCTGTGTGAGTATACAAAACTCAGATACATAGAATAGATGCTAAAAACATAGCATTCTTGTCTCTAAAATCCCTTATTACTGAATGCAGAATGGAATTTGTGGGGAGGGAATTTTTTTTATTTTTAAGCATTTTTACAGGAATTTAGAAAAAGTTCTGATTGTACAGCACTTGGTAGAATTGATTCCCAGAATACAGTAATTGTTAAAAGGTTTCTATTTTTTTAAAGTAAAATTCTTAAGATACTGTTCATACTTTCCCAGAATTCAGCATTTGCCTTTACCAGGTAAATAGCACCATCTCCTGGTTAAACTAAAAAACATTGAGTTTTCTGTAATTCTGAGTAGCCATGGTACAAATAGCACATTTATCATCAGTATGCTGACAAGATTTTTGAAGAAAACTTCTCACATTATAAATAAAGCTTATATAACATGAGAAGGTAATAGAATTAAATGCTTTTACTATTTAATAGAGATCTTATTCAATAGAATTTGAAGAGAAAATGATAATCAATGTAACTTTAAAACCCTCTGAACATACAAGAGAATATTAGAATTGTTCTACTCATTTACCCTGGTGATTTCAATGCATTTGTGAACATAGCATGATAATGGTATTGCTTTGCCAGTCCTAATAGAGATGACAAATTCTTTAAAAAAAAAAAGGAACAATAATGTGAGAGATACCTCTACTTTATCGCTATTCTTAATTCCTCCCAAAAACATAATACATGGTTTAAACGAGTGGATTATTCAGGTTATTTGTGATGGAAAAAATTAGGGCAGTTATCTGTAGTCTTAAACTGTAGCAAACAAGGCTAGCTTTAACTGAGATGAAGGTGGGCCACTTTGTATTAGGGCCAACTTGTGTTTAATTTTGAACCTAGAAACAAGGCTAGGTGGCAGTTTTAATATGGGTAAAATTGAGTTTGAATACGGGACTAAAAATAATGTTCCATTATTGGATTAACCCAGGTGCTCTCAACTTTGGCTGTGTATAGTTCATCTGGAAGCTTTTAAAATATCAGTACTTAGACTGTAACTGAACTGGTGTCTCAAAAAACCATTCACCAGAGGTGATGTACTGGATGGCCGGGGTTGGGGAGCCCTCGTCTAGGTTAGTAGCTAGGCTCTGCTGTGTGTGTTGTACACTTTTGTAAGGGGAGTATTCTGAACTAACTGGGGATTGCTCTACAGGTCTTGAGCGAAGCAGTTTTTCTTACTATTGAAAGGCTGTCAGGATTAGCCCCAGGGAAGAGAACGGAAATGACAGGAATGCAGTTCTTTGAATATAGATTCCATTCCAATCTTAGGATTTTCTTTATGACATTTACTTATCTGATGGACAAAAATCAGAGTGCTAAAAGTTTAGTACTGGGAGCTAACTTCACCCTTTTAAATATTTTGTTTTACGTAAATTCATTTGTGTGCTGGATTATACAACAGTGTATTTGCCTGTGTTGGCAAATAGGCTATCTAATCAGCAGTATGTCACAACTGAAGTTTTCCCCTCAAAAATATGTACATGGCTAGCTCCTGTAGATTAAAATGCTTTCCTTTTTGTATTCAAGCAGAACCAAGACAGAAAGCACAGAACATATGTTTATGTTCTTACTGTCACTGAAATACTAGAAGATTGGGAAGATTCTGTTAATATAGGTAAGTTTCCTTTTGAATTCTCTTAATCCAAATAGTACATACTTGTATCCAATTTTCATCTTAAATTACTTTTGGTTACCTTTCTTTGAGAGATCAATATATAGCTCCACATTTGAATTATTTTAAAATTCTTCAACATTATTGTTGTCTAAGCCATTCGAAAAAATGGTCATTAATTGTGAGGGAAAAGTGAGGGTATGGCTTACTTTTTAAACTTGATTTTACTGTAATGTGACCAATGTCATTCCTATTTTCTAGGAAGGAAGAGAGAATGGTTCAAAGTGGAAGATGCCATCAAAGTTCTCCAGTGTCATAAGCCTGTACATGCTGAGTATCTGGAAAAACTAAAGCTGAGTTGTTCTCCGTCCAATGGAAATTCCACAGTCCCCCCTCTTCCGGATAACAACACCTTGTTTGTAACTGCTGCACAGACCTCTGGCTTGCCATCTAGTATAAGATAGAGAGAATGGAAGGTCCTCTCTCACCATGTGCAACCTCATGAGGAGAGGCTTCTTTATTTTCCTTGGCAAACATCTGAATGACGCTTGCAAACTGTCTGAATTTGCCATGCGAGGTTTTCAAACAATTTGCATGTTTTTCAGATGCTTTCAAGTCTTTTTTTTAATAGTGTAAAATATTTTAATAAGCCAAAGCCATGTGGAATTTTTTTTTAGATGCCTTAACTATGCCCCCAACGCCACCTCACCCTGTTATTTTGGTTGTCATTTTTTCAGTTTTTTGTCCATTTGATGTCAGTCTGTGGTTTCTGTTGTATCACGTTACTTGTATGTTTACCTACCAACAAATTATTTTCTCATTCCCAGCATTAATGTAGTGAACATATCTTTTTGTTGTGGGAATTTACAAAAATTATTCTTGGTATTAAAGAAATCTATCCATCTGAACTTGTTTCATAGGATTACAATTTTATTTCACAAATTCTGTATTTGGACTATTTCTGTATGGTCCAATAACTGTTTTGACAAAGGACCTAATTTCTATTTTCAGGAATTTGTCAACTCATTTGTCTCAATTTTCACAACTGGTATTATGTCACTAGCATAATTCCCTTATTTCTCAATAGCCATTTAACACAAAATTTTAACACTGTAGAGTTGGTGATTTTTAGGGTAAGCAAATACATCACCTTATCATGAAATCGGCCTTCATGGAATTTGAGTTAGTACGCCCAGTTGCCAGTTCCCTTTATTCATGATCTCTCTTTAAAAGAATACCTGAAAACCAAATTTCCCTCAATGTAAATTGCTTTTCAAAAATATTTTTTCCACTTTTGAATTTAGTGACACCTCATCAGTTAAACTTGTTGGTTACCAATAACTACACCAAGGTTTGGAGTCCATGACCTTGAATGTCAGTGATAACTGCGTCACAGTTAAAATGGCCTTCTACTGTTTGGCCATTACAGACTTAGATTGTTAGGGCACCTTTAGAATGTCTCATCTCTTACAGGTTGTCGATGGGTATTTATCACGTAAGTAACTTTTGGGGCACGGGAATATACCTGAACTCAGAATTATTTTGTCTTACACTTGTCTTTATACATATTAAAATCAAGAATCTGGTCAAAAATACAAAAGTACCTTGTCTGGAACTCCTGTACTTCCCCAAACAGACCAGAAATGAGAAAAGAGGGAACACCTTTGAATAAGAGGTGGGGTGGGGGACAAGGGCAAGATCATTCTGTATGTAGACATTAACCTTTGTAAATATTGTAACTGGTGAATATATAAAGTAGAAAATAAGCATAGTTATACATTTGTTCTACAAATTGTTAACTTTAAAAAATACAATTGCTGCTAAAGATAGAGTGCTGTTACACTTAAGGAAAACTGGTGCCACTTTGGAAAATGAGATCTTGTGCCATAAGTGCAGCTGAACTAGATATAAACATCAGTTCACAAATTAATGCTGTCAAAGGAATGAGTAATTTAACCAATGACATTTCATTCTAAATTATATAGTGTGATCAAACACGATCATCCGGAATTTTTATATTTTTCTTTGTACAGGGGTTATGTGTGTTCTGGGTGTTTTTTTTTTTTTTTAAAAGAAAACATTTTAAATCCCACAGATTGACATTTTCTATCAATCTTCAATGGACTAAGATTTTTGGTCTCAGTAATCTCTGAAGTTTCTTTAAATTACATAAAGCAGAGAAACTGGATTGTTTCTGTATATAGGACTGTGTCCACCTGAAATACTGTCACAGTACTTGGGAAGGGTATCTTGTACATGACATTATCTTAGAGTTAACAGTGCATGAACCTATTTTATAAACTTAGACTATGTATTTGACCTGTAAAATATGTACAGTATTAATGTCAGCCATCTCTCAAACGTGAGCCTATAAATATTGTTGTATAATTTTCTTTGGTCAGAAACATTTGGATGTAGTAGTGCCACTCAAGTCAGGATTTCTTCAGTGCCATTTAGCAAACCAACCATCTTTAGTCTATGCAACTAGCAGAAATTTGTGTAATACAACAGAATATTTCCAGTTAACACTTTCAATTTCAAACAAGGGGTTTCTTCACTATTCTGAAACCCTGGCCAGCAAAATTAGCTGTTCAGAGAATAAGCCTACATTTTCAGGCTCAACAGTTGGATCTACTACACACAACAAAAAATGTCTACTATCTCAAAGATTACAGTGTTGAGACTGTCATTTGTGCTTTCTGTGGGGCAGCTGGATAAAGTTGGACAGCTAAAATTTCAGTCCTACGTGCCTCCTAAGTAAAATAAGTTTGTAAACTGACTTCCAGATACTGAGTAGCAACTACCCTGCCTGTTGTTGGGACTTTGTTTTTTTTTGTAAACAGGTGAAACTTTCCAACCAGACACATGCAGCTTCAGTTTTCCAGGGCTGATTCGACAGTAATATAGAACAGCAAAACTGAAGGGGGGTGGTGATTGTTGTATACAGTTTCAATTGCTTTGCATGGTCTCATTTGAAATAATTGGTGTAAGAATCTTGACTTTTTTTATATTTGGAAACATTAAATAAAAATGGAAATAAATGATCTTTTTTTCCACTTTTTTAAAACGTAAGACCATCTCCAAGTGAAAATTTGTCTGGCATTCCACAGTATCATTATTCTCCCACTGATGGTCACGTATTTCAGCAGTAGTACATTTACACATTTCCCACTTAATGATTGTTATAGTGGAAATTAACTGGGTTATAAAAGGAATTGGTCACCGGTATGTTGCCATTATTCTCCCAGTAGATACTTCCCATATTAGACAGTAGTCTGATGGTGTACCGCTATGGTTATCTTATGTAATAGCGCCGTTCCTGCTCCCTGGTGGGGTTTTAATTATTTCAATAGTTTTCCAGCACCCTTGACGTACTCTTGTGTTTTGCTGTAAGGTGACATAGATGCTTTCTATACACTGCCATTGCTTTAATTATTGTAGTTCCATTTTAAAAGGGTAACTGGCAACAGGTACCCTGCCTGCTACTGTATTTCCCCAAAATATTGTTTACCCCAAACCAACTTTACAATCCGTACGTGAAAGTTCTACTCAAATCTCATTTATATTGTAGCAAAAGAGAAAGCCTGGTATTTTCTAGTATTTTCACATTGAAATACAAGAATTCTATACAGGTCTCTAAGAATTTCGCAAAGTGACAGGACTAAACACTAGTTTATTAAAACAATTTTTTAAAACATCCTCACCCGAGGACACATTCATTTTTAGAGAGGAAGAGAGGGAAGGAAACACTGATTTGAGAAACACTGATTGGTTGCCTCCCATGTGTGCCTGAACTGGCGATCAAATGGCAGCCTAGGTATGTGTCCTGACCGGGGACTGAATCTGTAGCCTTTTGGTGTACGGGATGAACATTCCAGCGAGTTGAGCAACCTAGCCAGGGCTTAAAATACAATTTTTAATAAACTGGTTATAGCTGGAATGTGTAGTTGATTTTGTTTCCAGCCAACACTCAAATTCTTAATAGTGTTTATCAGTAACTATACAATGATCAGCATGTTTTATGCCTGCGTTGCATTGGTGTTATAGTACAAAACAAGTTTCTGCCTCAAGGGAACTTATATTTAGTGGAATAGAAATTTAGCTAGTGTTTGTTTATGCATCAGAAGGTTCTAAGTGCTGCAGAGGTCATGGCTGATCTGAGAGAGATACAAACTCTTAAAAGTAGTTACATATATTGGGTGCCTCGGTTCAATGTCATGACTAGCTGGGTGTAGAGGACTAACATTAATGACCACGCCATTAGTTTGGCTGTAACATGTTTTGTAAGGGTGTGCGATACTCAATGTTTTTTTGACCGCCACCCACAGGGTAAATTGTTTTACAAGGTTTTTTTTTTTTTACACTTAAATTCACCATCTTTAAAAGCAAAATTTTATTTAAAATTTTCAAATACCAAAATACCAGGTTAAAATGTGATCTCATCTCTGGTGCTTTCCTTTCATTATTCCCCTGACTAGTGCCACTGGCTAAATACTAGGAATAAAGATGAGACGGCCCCGAGGCCTGCCTTACGACTGCATTACTTAGCAAAGGCCCAAATTTACTCAAAGGCTCCATGTCTTTTTGCCAGGAATTAGTCTTAAATTTCTCTATTCAATGTATTTCAAGTTACTTTTCCCAGTTTGTGGAAAACTACCCTCTGGACATCACATTTCCTGGTTCTTTAATTAAACACCAGTGCCAGACATAGGTATAAAAGTATTGTAAATCTGATGTTCTCAATTTTTACTCAAATTCACTCCTTAATCAAATTAGTGAAAGAAAAATATTTGGCTATCAATGTGAATCAAGAAACTTAAAACATCTTTTGATGAAGTAACTGCATCAGAAATCTTCAGGAATGTGGACAGATTTTTGTATCAAGCCAACTAAAATGGTAAGGCATGAAAATAAAATGCCCTGGCCTAGTGAGTAATAACGAACTATCATAGACATAAAATACTATCCTTTCACCAAACAATTCCATTTCTGGGAGATGCTTCAAGTTGAATAATCAGAAACTGGTCAAACTGGTGTGTACTGCAGGATTTATAAAACATCAATTTGAATTACAAACGGGGATTAAATTATGGTCATCATGTCAATAGATATCACTACCAAAAAATTCTGCTGCCACAGGTGGTGTTCCTTTAACAGTAACTTAAAACAGCAGAACACCACACCACATTGCCTGTTAAAGCTCGCTATTTAAAAAGGAGCCTGTACGTCGTATTTCAGATTTCCTTTTAAAATCTATGACTTTAATTTTAAAATTAAACATTCTAAGAAACTCTCATTGTGGGGCTGTTCACTAACCTTACATGAAAAAAGGGCTCGACAAATGCTCAATCTACATTAACTTTTATCAAAATATACTAGCATCAAAGGGGAAAGAAACCTGTACAAATGTTTCTGCTAATTGTTAATGGAGTAATTTTCCACTTTTTAAAGAGAAATACACATTTGATTCTAACACTACAGCAGTGAGTTATCAATCACTGCCAAGTGGCAAGGAAGCTGAGCCTACAGACAAGACACACAGAATGTTTTTTTATATTCAGTGGTTAAGAAACCTTATGATGTGATAATTCAAGGCTTAGAGCACAATATTGTCTATGGATGCTTTCTCACTACAATGGCAGAGTTGAGTAATTTACTGGAGACAGATCCATGGCCTGCAAAGTCCAAAATACTTAGTTTTAAAAGCGAAAAACGGATTGCAAGAATGTGGCCCTTGGCTACGCAGTCCTGATTTTCTTGCCAAAACTGAAGGAAAACAGCACCAAGTTCAAATCTAGTGCAATCAACCTATCTAAACCCCTTTTAACTGGTCTAAGTAGTCCGTAAATCAGAATACTTTGTGAACTTGCCAGGTTAGGTTATAATGAAATTTAAATTATTGGGACTTACTAATCTAGATAATGGATCAATTTCAAAAGGAGTCAGGTGCTGGGTAAGAATGGATCAGGAAGTGTGTAAAAGGTAAATACTTATTCTACATGGTAGAAACATGAGGTTATCAATCTTACAATTTCTCAAACATTTTGTCCCATGGGTACAAATGATTAATAGGAAAAAATTTAAAGCTCCTTAATGAACACCATAAAATGTACTTTTACAGGATAATGGGATTTCAGCCCCAGCTGGTGTGGCTCAGTGTGCAAAGCTGGTGTGCCAGCCTGCAAACCCAGGGGTCGCCAGGTTGATTCCCGGTCAGGGTACCCCCGCCTGGGTTTTGAGCCAGGTCCCTGGTTGTTTCTCTCACACATCAACATACCTGTATCTAGCCCTCTCTTCCCCTCTGTAAAATAATTAAAATCTTAAAAAAAAAAATATGTAATGGGATTTCAGTTGTTGCTCCACCAACTGGAGACAATAAGCAAGGTCTAAATATTCAGGCAATTTCTATATTGCTTCTATAACCAGTAACTGAAGAACTGTCAAGTCAATAGACACTCTGCTTGGTAGTAAGTCTGCACTCACACACTTGAAGTGCCACCGGCCCGTATGTAATGAGATCAGCTGAAGAGCGGCAAAGGTGAAACGGGGGGCTGGTGGGAGGACCCAAACTCATGTTGAGGACTACACTTAACAGGAAAAACTTTAGTCCAGCTCCCAGTTTTGCAGCCAATGGGAATTTGCTCAATGTGTAACAGCTGCAGGAAAGCCAACTCTTGGAACCAATCCTCCCAAATTCCATCTCAATGATAAAATGGAAATTAGTGCAGGGGGTATAGATAAAAAAACAAAGTATTACCAGTCTTGGTGGTAATTACAGGTTTTTATTCTTTATACTTCAAGTCATTACATTCAACATGTTTTGTTTTTGTGATCAAATCATTTAAAAAATAATTCCTTATACTAAGCAGCATGCTAAGTAGCTAAATGAAGTGTTGCCCCAGGTCCCAAAACACATAATTTCAATGAAGTATTACATTTTTCCTAAATACACTGATGAGTTAGCTGCTCTCTAAATCATGGCATTTTAGGGGAGGGGCAGCTTTTCTAGATAAGGCTATATTTTTAAACTTTGCTATTCCAACAAAATTGTTGTGGCCAGAGAAGCTGAAAGATTTCTGGGCCATCAAATAGAAAAATAAAGCTAATCCCTATCATTTCCATGACACCACTTAGTTCCATTTAACTAAAATTGTGTTTAGCATGTCTTGTAGAATACAACGTTCCAGCCTTTAAACAGTGCTAATGAACCAGCACCGATGGTTTTTGTACTGATTGGTATTTAATCTTATTTTTAAATGTTTCTAAATTTTTGTATTAAAGTATGCTGTTGGTCTAGAGCAGGATTTAAGTTCTACATACTTCAGATCAAGACCTTATCAGGCTGCCTCTGAGAGAACTACCATGGAAGCAAATCACAGCGAAGCAGACTACAACAGAATTTAAAAAACAAGTTAACACAATGTTCCTATCATCACCTCAGGATTTCAGAAAAGGTCATGAATGGGCTGAGTTGATTCTCAAGAGCCACTTGGTAATATATGCAGATTCTTTTCCTGGCTCTCAGAGCTTGCATTGCTGTTCTCCCTGCCTGGAGGTGTCCATCTGGCTGGAATCCAGAAGCCCAGCCCCTCCCAAGTACTTACTTCCCTTCTTCAAGACAGAGCCACTACTGCTGTCTTCTGCTCCATGTCCCCCTCTCTCATTAGATTAGAAAGTCCATGAGGGAAAGAAAGCCTTAGCCAGTCTCATTCACCTCATCATCCCCAACAAGTATAACAGTCTTGAGCACGTATGAAACCCTTTTACTTGTCAAATAAAGTAACTTTTTCTTAAGTTCAGGAATTACAAACTTAAAGACTTACAGGAGAACAGAACTACCTAAAGGAGCAGGTGGGCTGGGGGAGAAGGCAGAAACTCTAGCCAACTGCAGGGTCACTGGATAAGAGGAGGAGGCTACCACTCAGCTCCTCCCACCAGGTGCCAAGCACAAAGGCAGGTCACGTGTCCTCTGTTGCCAGACACTGAGATGTTACCAAAATTCTGGATTTTCATGTAAATCTCCCCATTTTTAAAAATGTTGGCACTGAATTCAGAATGTTTAGCCAACCACATCATACGGGCCAAGAAAAATATGCCCCAAAGCCAGACATAGCTACAAGCTCTGCCTTGGCCTCTCCCAGAGCCCCTTACATCCTACGAAAGCTCAGTGAACACACCGACTCTTATTTCAATCCACTGCTACAGAAAGCAGGTTTTACCAAACAATGCGTGCTCACCAAAATTATAAAGGAAAACACGATGCCATGAAATGAAGAATTCATGGATTTGAAATGAAAACTGTATTATTCCATTTCAGTTCTTCTATCACCAACTTAGTAGATATCAGAGCCTTAATTTAGACTCATTTTATGTGCAACAGATTTAAATGTGTAATTTTGTAACTATAAATCACTATGTGAGGCTAGTTATTTCATGAGCTGTGCCACTTGCAATAGAGCTGATCAATTTGGCCCCAGAATAAAATTGTTTCCTTAGTTGTAAGACACAACTTAAGAATGGTTATAAATGACAACTGCTGTTAATAGTGTTTTTAATTTACAATATCAGTTATGAATAATTTTATTATGAATTAAACTTGTATTTGTGTCCAAGCAATGTATTTATTTGGTAGAATACCAGTTACCAGTCATCGAAAACTTCTGTATGTTGAAAATGTAATTTTAATAGATAATTCTTCATCTTACATATAGGAGGCACAGTAAAATACACCACATTCTGAAGAAACTCCAAAAGTTACGAGATTAAGAGTGGGGGAAATTCAGATATGGGCTACAATATCCGTTACCTTGAAACTGCAAGAGACAAGGGTTCCAACCCATAGATTAATATTTACATACTTGGGACTGTCTACATTGATGAACTTAAAAATAACAACAATCAGGAATTAGATATGGAGAATGGGAAAGAACAGTTTTGTCAAAGGAGGAACTCTGTCATTACAGAAAAATGTTACTGAATATCAGAATAAAAGAATAAAAGGAGCTCCCACAGCAAATACTAGAGGGATGAAAATAAGAATAAATCATGGAGGATTTGAAGCTCTCAAATGAAGACGACTTTCTGATGACACGCAAGCTGTAGTCTGAGATTTGTTCATGGGGTCTATGAGGAAGACTCAAAAGTGGCTCAGCAAACCCCATATCATTATCCGATTGGTATTTCCTAATAGCACACATCAGTGGTCACACAAAGTTTTCAGACAAGAACTAAGAAAAGGGTCATAACTCAAATGCCGGTCACATATGTGGCACAACATGTGAAAGTCCTACACAAAGCCAGTCACACCGCTGCTTTGCTGGGACTCTCAAGTACAGTAATTTTCAAACATTGTGGCAAGACACCAGTGATCATCTAGCTAATCAGACAACACAAATACTTTTTTTCAAATTTCTAGGAGGTAAAAAAAAAAGTTAGATACGGATGCTTTAAGCATGCTCAGGGCCAGCTTAAAAATACTCCATTCAGTGATATCTTAATACAAATTTGCATCAATGAGAATAAACTGGCAAAATCCACCTCCTGCCATTCAACTTGTCAGATGGTGAAGACCAAAACAGAATGTTCCATTCAATTTTAATTTTTAAATACGATTGTCACATTGGGAAAATGAAATAAACACAGTAAAATGAACTGTACAAAGGCAAAGTAGAATAACAAAAAATATTTTACTAAAACATAGGATTTACAGAAGTTTTCAGACAAGCCATACAAAATGGTGACAAGCTTTTTCTTGAAGGGAGGATTCTACATTTGACAGCAAAGTCACAATGTTATTAGTGAGGACCGTAATATTTAATGTTCCCATTTTGGTTCAAAACAATCAAGCTTGTCCATCTACAGCGTCTAAATAAAGTTAGACTTGGCTAGAGAGCATATTCTAAAGAACTGGTTAGCTGCTTTTAACCAATGCAATTAAATCACCATAAAAAGGGGGAAAGGAGCCCATAAATTTAAAACTACTTCCCCCCTCAAAAAAAATAAAGAAAAACACCCATTCTCCTGCAGCTAACCCTGATAACTACCTTCATTCACAGTGCTTTATACTTAAATCATGATGGGGGAAATGAGTAAAAGCAGAGAGGGGCCACTGCTTTTAAACGTTTCGCAACAATCCAGATAATACTTCTAGCCTCTGCTCATGCTTTATAACAGTGAATCAGGACAAGACATAGATTTGCTAATGTGCATTTAATCACCAAAGGACTGAAGATGTTGGGCTTTTATTCTGTAATGTTTCTAAGACTGTGTCCATTAAATGCAAACAAAAAAGGAAGAAGTCTTGGCAGAACAGGAGAAGTGATGCACACTTGATGATCAGATTGATTTAAATATTATTCATGGCATATAGCCTAGTCCATGCTCTAGCTGTAGACAAAAACAAACATGCAATTATTATTTTACTTTAGTTAAATACATTACTTTCCAGGCTCTATAAAAAGTAGGCAAACACTATGAAGTTAATTATGGAAATGTCATGCTGTAATCTCTTAAATTCATGCCATTTTCCATAATCTGGATCAGGGTAGAAAGACTGCCTATATGTCTAATTACCAAGAGTTCTACAAAATTCACCAGAATGAAAAAAGTTGTCTCCCTTTGCCACCTTCATTTCTAGATATATTGATATAATGCCCCCCAACTAATTTTGTTATAATCCGTAGAAGAAGCTTATTGATTTCAAACTCCACAGCTGTATATACTGATGTAATTTAATCGAATGGACTGCAAAAACAACTAAAGTTTTCCATTATCGTTATGTATTTGCTAGATGAATGATAGACACACAGTATTTGTTAAACTGGGTGTGGTTACACAGAAGTCCAAGATCTATCAATTATGTGTTGTCTTTAAATTTGGGGGTCCCTGGTAGGTTGTAAGATGGACCATGAAGATCATCTGTTAAAAGATATTTATTTACAAATTATAACCAGGATCTTTTTATTCCTTTTAACATATTTTTTTTTGTTAAAACTCTGAAGCCTTTTAAGAAGTAGCAGGAACTTGTTTTGAGAAGTGGAAGCGGTGTGAGAGAGAATGAATACTAAATACCTGTTTCTATGGCTTGGGCTTCGTTGGTCTTCCACTGCTCCGCTACATCATTTGCTAATGGATCGTCGGGATTGGGAGCACTTAACAAAGCCTGGATCGATAGCAGAACTGTGCGGATCTGCAGTGCTGGGGACCACTTATCTATGAAGGCAAGAGGCCCAGAATGATCAAACACGAAAAAACAGCCCCAGAACTGCTACATTTCCCTCCCGCAGACCTCTGTGGTCTTTAGATAAGGCAGGATTATAAAGTACAGGTTCTCAGTATGGAAATATGTAAGAGAAAATTAAGAAATCTTAGCAGTATTCAATAAATGATAAAGTTAACACTTACCTTTCAAAATATCTAAACATATTCTTCCCAACTTGTCTACATTAGGATGATAAATTTTGGTCATGAAACGTACTTTAGGCGCTGCCATCGGGTATTCTTCTGGAAGAAATAGTTCAAGTTTAAAAGTCCCTCCCTCAAAGGGGGAATCCTGGGGGCCAGCAATGACCACATGAAAATAACGGGCGTTGCTCTCATCTGGTTCTGCTTTAATGCCAGGAACTGGTTCTGCCAGCAAACGCTGGGTTTCCTACAACAGAAAAACACAACACATTTGTAAAAGAAACATCATTTCACCAAACACCTAAGTAAAAATTAGAAAGTTCATCTCTTAAAACTGAACACAACTAAACCTCTCCAATCCCCTGATGGGGGTTTTATATAGGTTATGAAACACAAAGTTCTAAGAAAAGGCCATTTAAATGATCACAATCAGCTGAACGCAACTGCAAGCAAATACTGGTGACATACACATTCCAGCTATGATGTCTACAAATATGCTGATGATAAATTACGCTACTGAAACTGACTTTATACTAAAGAAGAAAAGAGGGGAGGGGGTAAGGAAGGCAGGGCACTAGGATGACTAAACACAGCTAAGGCAACTTGCCCTCAAACCCAAGCTGTTAAAAAAGTAAAATTAGTTTTAAAGCCAATGAAAATCTCCCCTCCTAATCATACAACAGAAATACATACAACCATGCCAATTAAGTTGCTATGGCTCACAATGAAACTGAAAGAGACCCTTGTTGCTCCCCAACTATCATATTATTAGTTCTTTTCTATGTTTCTCCCTCTCTCCTAAGAAACTAACATTCTTCCTCCTCTCTCTTCAAACCTCCAACATCTCCATCTTCATCCTCACTTTGGGCTGATGACTCTTGCTTTCAAAATTTCATGAGAAGACCAAAACAAACAAACAACAACTTCGTTCCCACTGCACCATTTATACACCTACTCGCATCTGTGCACTGCCTTTTCTCCTGTCACTATGGATGAAACGGCTGTCACTGTGGGCTAAGGCCAACCTCTCCTCTTGAGCACTAAATCTTAATTCCTCTTCACCTACTCAAGGACATTGCTCTAGCATCTCTTTCCTCCTGAATCATCAGTTTTTCCCTTTTTAGTGGATCTTCCCTTAATTATACAAACTTGGTGTAATTTCTCCTAATTAAGAGGAGAATCTGACCTTGACCTGACCCCCACCTCCCTACACCAGCTACTGCCCCACGGCTTCACTCCCACCTGACAGTTACCTATCTCTACTTGTCTCCGGTCTCTCTCCTCCCCTCCCATCTCGGAACACGTCTCCAATCAGACTCAGCCACTAAGCTGCTTGTTCAAATCACCAATGATTCCCATATGGTTAAATCAAATGGCCAATGTTTAATCTTCATCTTTCTTGACCTAAATGTCCCATCTTACCCAGCTGGTCTGCCCTCCTCCTTGCAAGGTTTCATCCAGCTTCCTGTAGCCACACGCTCCAGGCTGCCTGGTACCAACCTCCTAGCTGGCTCCTCCCGCATCTCTCCAATACCCCCATGTTGAAGTGTGCCAAGGCTCTGTCCTAGGGCTTCTTCTGTCCACACACTTCTATAATGATCTCATCTAGCACAATTAAATAATGAATACATTCTTATACATGCTTAAGTCTCTCCAAAACTATATCCAGCGCAGATCTCTATCCTGATCTTCTATCCATAACTGCCTGCCTGACAGCTCCTCTTGAATGTCTAATGAGCATCCCAAACTTAGCATGACTGTCTACCCTCAACCTGCTCCTGCCCCCAAAGCCTAGCTCATGTCAGTTAACCTTAAACCTATCCTTCCGACCGATCCACCTTCTTTCATACCCCACACATCTAATCTGATCGCCAAATTCTTTTATGAACTCTGAAATCTATCCATGATTGGACTGCTTCTTACCACTCCACTCTACACGTCTGATCCAAGCCACCACCAGTTCTCACCCGGCATATTGCAGTAGCCTCCTAACTTGTTCTCCTTGATTATGACCTTGGTTACCCCTCCCTCCCTGTATTCAACAGCCCCTAAAAGAGGCTTTATATAATTCCTTCACTCCACCCATCTCTTACTCATCTTCAGCTATGCTTTCCCCACCCTGCCTGCTTTGTTTCAGCTAGACTAGCTTCAACCTGCTAGGCACACTCCTCTCCCAGGGGCTTTCCCACTTGTTACTCTTCCCAAAATTTCTATATGGCTCACTTCCTCAGCTCCAAAGGTCTTCATTCAAATCTGTTTTCTCAGTGAAGTCTCCATAATTAAAACTGCAAACCTCATACCACCCTATTCCATACCCTCTCTATCCTTGCTCCCCTACTTCATCTCCACATCACTACTAATATATTACATATATCATTTAGATCAGACTGGAAGTACTATAAAAGGAGAGCTTTGTGTCTGTTTGATTTATTGCTATAGCTTCAGTATTTCAAAGAGTGCCTGGCATCATAGATGGTCAATAAATACTTACTGAATTATAAATATATCTGATGTTACACAGAACTAGGAATAAACTCAAAATTTCATCTTCAACATTAGAGCAGTGTTATTCAAAGTAGGATTTGCACTTCACAAGAAAACAAAAGGATCATTTCAGGTGTGGGACCAAATAATCTAACTTCTATTTAAAATTTGTACCTACTTGAAAAATATTAATATTTAACATACAAACTGACAATAGTGTGTTGTACATATTAGTAATACATTTTCAACATTTTGAATAGGCAGGGTACAGCTAAAAACACTTAGAACACTGCTTAACTCAGCTTTGAAAAACAATGAATGAGAATACTGTATTTCCCCTAAAAAAATTATGCACCTTACACCATTTCATTCTACAGCCTACAGTGCATATACTAAAAAAAATTTTGTCAGCATACTCACACACTGATATAGTCATAAGATACAAAACCAACTCCTTCCTCGAAGTGTGTTAAACCCATAACCATTTAAAGTAGTGCCTTTAGTACTTTAGGTCAAGACTAGATTTTGCTTTGTTTTAATTGTAGCAAAGCAAAGCCAAATGAAAAACTAAAATGCTGTAATCTACTTTCAGCGAAATGTTCTTTAGGTTCAAAGTAAAATATTTTTAGAGCATTAAAAATTTCAAAAAGTAAAAATGAAGCCTCTCCCATCTCAGAAGTCCTCCAATATGTATCTAGAACAAAAGAGGTCAGTCTTCGTTTTTAGGAAAAAAGTAAAGATATTAATGGTGAACAGTAGGAGTAAAGGAATGAGAAAAGAACTGGGTGCTAAAATTCCTTGAATTTGGACCTCTCCCCACCTCATCCTCCTTTTGTTTTGCCCCAGATTGCCATATATTTAGAAAGCCATAAAGAGTAAGACTGGAAAAGAGATAAAGCTGAGGTCCAAGAGCCCTGAAACAACACTCCCTGGTTACACAAAATAGTAGCAGCAATACTCAAAGCTAAAAAAAGCTGCCAGAAGGGCCTCCAAGATCATATCCCAAAATAGCTTCAAAATCATTCTCACTACAGTGTCAGAGAGACTGATACAGCATTCATTTCCTCATCTTCACCTCACTCTCAAAATCGGATACTTTCTTTAAAAATGTACATATTAAACATATCACATAGCCTGATGAAACTACTGGGTTGGCCAAAAATTCTGTATGGTTTTTTCTGTAATATAAAACACTCATTTTTCATTTTCACCAGTAACTTTACTGATTTGGATATTTTGAGTATGTTGACCATCTCCTGCTATTGGCTTCTAGTGGATAGAGGCCAGGGATGCTGCTAAACATCTTCCAATGCCTAAGACAGCTCCACAGCAAAGAATTATTTGGCCACAAAGTCAATGTAGTATCAAGAAACTGTGCAAACTACTTTGACATGTTCAATCAGTCACAGCACCTTCTCCATACACTACACAAATCTTTTTTCGTGTTCTAGTTGCATTATAACAACAGACTGAAAATGTTGCGTATCTTCTTCCACCTTCCACATTAAAACAGCTGCACAAAAATTCACGAATTTTGATAATTTTTAAAACATATCCTAATATATGACAGCTGTTAAAATACAATCTAAGAAAGTTGTTTCCAATGAGGTTAAAGACAACTAAGCTCTACTAGAGCAATTATATGAAAAACACCTAAATGAACTTTTTGGCCATATACTGTAAGATTTCATCAGAACACAATCCAGAATAAGCTTTTAGACTTTCTGAAATAGCCTGATATGCTCCCAAATTCTAATGGATTTTGATACAATGAAGAGGTGCATATTATCTGACTACAAACCCACAGCATAAATTACGGGAGGAAAAAAAGAATAAAATCCACACCAAATGAACAAGTCTCACCCACAGAGGTTGGTGTAGATTTTCCTTTAAAAAGGCAAAAATGAGGCAGGAAATAAAATCCTTCCTGCTACTTATTCACACAAGGTTAACTGTGAAACACCTTCTAGTTTTATACTACTCTTTGGTAGAAAGACAGTAAAGTACAGTGTGATTTCTTCAAGTCTAAAAATAACCAGTTCAAATTCCTACTGCACTGTTTACTCAACTATATTTCTGAGCAAGTAATTTACACTGTTGAGCCTCAGCTTCATGCAGAGTTGCTACAAAGGGCAAATGAGATAATACTGTAAAAGGACTTGACAAGTGAATCATACAAGAAAGCCATAGTCATATACAACCAACTAAAAAAGAATGTAGGTTAAGAACACAGCACAATAACAAATCGCAAGATTTATTATATAACAGTTTGTTTTTTAATGAAAACAGAATAACCCTTAGTTGCATTTTGTGATCCTACTTGCTTAAAAGCAATCCTAGGACTGAATCCCAGGTAGAACTGAGCGTAAGCCTAGCAGAACAGAATGCACCGTAGACTATGTTAAGGAAATTAGTCACGAAGAAGTAGAAAAGAAATGCAAAGAGTACGGATTTAAGCGGCAACAAGATTAAGTTTCAAGGAAACTCATCTTGCTGAACTGTGTACAAGAGTTTATACTGCACATACTTAAAAAAGAAATAAAACAGCCCTTGCTGGTGTGGCTCAGTAGATTGAGCACCAGCCTGTGAACCAAAGGATCACTGGTTCGATTCCTAGTCAGGGCACATGCCTGGGTTCCAGGCCAGATCCCCACTAGGAGCTCCTGAAAGGCAATCACACACCGATATTTCTCTCCCTCCCCTTCTCCTCCCTTCCCCTCTGTCTAAAAATAAGTAAAATCTTTAAAAAAAAAAAAAATGAAA